ATTGCATAATTTCTGTTTAACTCCTTTTTGCAAGCTACATCATGTTAAAATATCGGTTCCCATATAATCACCAGAGTTAAGCAACATTGAGCTTGGTCAATACCTAGATAAATGACTGCATGGGAATACCAGGTGCTATAAACTTGGATGCGCAGATTGTGTAATGAATAATTGTTAAGCAGAGTGCTGAGTTCAAATTCCCATTGGTTTCGTTATATTAATTTACATGCAAATACCCTTGGGAAAGGTATGAATCCACCACTTCCCCCCAGCTATGGGTTAATGTGTCACGAAACCATTATTATCAAAAAAAAATTTCTTACAATCTAAAACAATTTTATGGCTTTAAGTATGCTCCATAGAGTTGATAAGCCGTAGAAAACGAATCAATCAATCAATCAAATGCTGATTAGCTACACAGGCATGTCTTTTCGATTTATTTACATTCTCTGGAATAGAAATGTATAGAAACTATCGTGGCCACAAAATGAGGGATCAGTTTATATATTGATTGTAATATAGGATTGATCCTCTACTTTATATCCAAATGATAATTTCTTGTTTGTTGATAAGCCATAGAAAAACGAATCAATCAACCAATGAAATACTGATTAGCTACACACGCATATCTTTTACATTTATTTATATTCTCTGGAATAGTGGCCACAAAGTGAGGGTCAGTTTATATATTGATTGTAATGTAAAATTGACCCCCCCCCCCACTTTAAATTCATCTTATAAGTTCATGTTGATTATCAAAATTCTGACCAGGTATGAATCCACCTCTTAGTTAATTAGTAAGAATCGTGTCACTAAATTTTTATCTAAAAAAAAATCTAAAAATATTTTTCTGGCTTTAAATAACCTGCAAAAGGTTGACAAACTGTCAAAAATGAGTCGATCAATGAAATACTGATTCGCTACACATACATGTCTTTTAGATTTATTTAGATTTTCTGGAATATACATATATAGAAACTATCGTGGCCACAAAATGAGGGATTAGTTTATATATTGATTGTAATGTAGAATTGATCCTCCACTTTATATCCACACTATAATCTTCGGCCTTGTTTGGCAACCAGTTTACAAGAAGGGAAATTAATGAGTGATCGTTCAACTTGTGTAACGAGTTGTTGACCATTGTATGTGTATGAAAAAATATTATTTTTATGGAGAAACTTTTAGATTTAAAAAAATTAGAATAACAAAATTTTATATTTTTTTATGAGTTTGTTTTTTTTTTTTAATGTATATTTTTATTCCATACTAGTAAAATCTTACAAACCCATATGATGTCAAAATGAAAGTTGGATTCCATTCTCAGAAGGAAATGCTTTTCTCTATGAAAAGAAAATGTATAGCGTTCTTCCAATTAAGTCTTCTAAAATGCATGTTGCTGAAAAAAATAAAAATAAATAAAATTGAAAAAGCAGTAAATTGTGAAAATAAATCGTCTGTTTTAGAATACCAAAATAATGTTTTAAGTGAAAAAAAAAAAAAAAAAAAAAAAAAGTTTGACTACTTAATGAAAGCTTTGCAAGCAAAGAAAAAAGTTTTAATTGGAAGTTTCTGCAATATGTGTATTTGGGCAAATTACTTCATGAAATTTGTAAGGACGGCATTCAAGAAATATCTTTAATTTCTATTGAGGTGCAGAATTTTTTTTTTTTTTTTTTTTTAAACCTCACTTTTGATTCAAGCCTCAAACATTGTTAGCAACCATCTTTCTTTATAAATAAAAAAAAAAAAAAAAAATGAGGTGTCTTTCATTTAATTTGTACAAATTGAACTTGGTCTATCTTTGCCAACATTATCAGTTACCATTTTAAGAAATAATTTTAACTGACAATGGACCTGTCGGGTGGGGGGTGAACGATTTGTTTCAAGTTTTGATCAATGATTGGTTCGTAGAGAAATCATAAAAGGCGTGAAAGAAAATCTTTCTAACCAATATAATCTGAGAGACGCCTCTCTGCCTTCCATCAGTATGGCTGATGCTAACCTCCAGAAGAGGGACTCATCATGCCTTCTTGGACTGACATTCTTGGCTGATATGTAGTGGAAAGACTATATTCAATCCATTGCTAGGTCAGATGCTAAGAAGCTTGGTTCACTGTTGTGTGAGACAATTCTTCTCTCAAGAATCTCTTACATATCTATAGTGATTTTCCAAGCGTAGCTTAGATGTGGCACAAGGCCGAAAGTGGGGGGGGTACCCAGTGAGGATCGAACTCACTACTCAGTCGTAATTGTTCTAGCGAGCCAAGCTTGCTAACCATTACCTCGAGGTGCCCATCTTACATATCTATAAGTCTACCATTTGTCCATGCTTAGAATACTTCTGTCGCATATGCTTCTGTCCTATTGCTGTATATGTAGAAATCCTTGATAAAATCCAAAGAATCGGCAATATTATCGGTCCTTGACTTCGGTCATTTCCCACTGTTGTATAGTTGCTTCTTGTGCCTTTTCTATAAATACTTTGATGGTAATTGTTCAGATGATACTATCACTATGACACTTCACTATGGTACCTAGACTTTTTGAATTTAAGCGCAGTACTAGACAAGCGGTGATGTCTCACTGATAAACAGTAGAGTTGGCTAGATGTAATGGTAAATTCTCAGTTACTTTTCTCATACTTCTCATTTGTGGAACTCCCTTTAGCTCTATGCTTTCCAATCAACTTGGATCTTCAAAAGTTCAAATGCAATGTCAATCATTATCTATTCTCCTCGTGGTTTCTCTCCTATTGTTCTTGCTTGTTAGCAGTATTTCTACTTTCTAATACTTTCATACCCTTGTCTTAGTGCTCCTGCTAGATATCAAGAAATTCTTTTTCAATTTTATTTTTAGTTCTGTTTGTTTATTTTTAGTCTGTTTACCTTTTTAGTTGCAGTTTTGTCTGTTTACCTTTTTAGTTGCAGTTTTGTCTGTTTACCTTTTTAGTTGCAGTTTTGTCTGTTTACCTTTTTTAGTTGCAGTTTTGTCTGTTTACCTTTTTTAGTTGCAGTTTTACCTTTTTAGTTGCAGTTTTGTTTTACCTTTTTTTTAGTTGCAGTTTTGTCTGTTTACCTTTTTAGTTGCAGTTTTGTCTGTTTACCTTTTTAGTTGCAGTTTTGTCTGTTTACCTTTTTAGTTGCAGTTTTGTCTGTTTACCTTTTTAGTTGCAGTTTTGTCTGTTTACCTTTTTAGTTGCAGTTTTGTCTGTTTACCTTTTTAGTTGCAGTTTTGTCTGTTTACCTTTTAGTAACATGTGAAATACGTTTTCAACCTTTTGGCTAAGAAGTCCTAACTAGTTAAGCAGTGAACATAATTGTGTTGGTTGCAAGGAATTTTGGGATAAATTACTATGAACTTTGTCTTGCTAATTATATGGGAGTCAAACAACTACCCCAAGCAAAATTCAAGGGATTGTCAGGATTAGAAAGCTGATGAGTGGGATGAAAATGTTAGCCCCAATCCCCTTCCGTGTGAAATTTAAAAAAATTTTTTTTTTTTTTTTTTAAGCAGCTGGTTTTGTTTTAAATTCTGTTTCACAGTACAAATCATTTCAAAGCCTTTTGTTTATTACTGCAGATTAATTTGGATATCGGATTACTGAAATATCCAGTTATTTATAATAATTGTAATTCTAGCTTTTGAAATATACAGAATTTTAAAAAAAAAAAAAAAAAACTCACATTTTTTTAAATTTTTGATCATTTCACCCCAAAGCAAGGTGACAGAGCCACTAAGGTAAGAAGGGTTGCTAAAGGTGAAAGAAGCTGAAACTGTTATTGAAGAGAGAGAGAAGACAAAGAACAGAATTTGAAGACAGATGATGGATATTGCATTTAAATTTTGGAAAAAGAACCATGAGAACATAATTTATGGCTCTATCTATCAATTTCAACAGTAAAAAAAAAAATGAGACCTAATTGCCAATCAATTACTGTGTTTAAATTCGTGAAGTGAAGGTAACAAAAAGGAAAGTCTATAACGGTAGTCATGAAAATATTTATAGAAAAGACAGAGAAGCTACATTAGAAGGGGTGGAGAAGGGGCTGAAATCAAGATGCCAGGTGAGGATCAATAACATTGCAGTTTTTTTTTTTTTTTCTTTTTTTTTTTTTTAAATCAAGAATCTCTAAATACATAGCAGAAGTACCAGACCAGATGTGGCAATAATATCCAATCCATAGATGAATGATAGATTTATAAATGTGTAATGTAGATTTTGGTGAGGAAAATAGTTGAACATGACACAGTGAACCAACTTTCCTGGCAGCAGACTGAGCAATTGCAGAGTTAATTTTTTTTTTTTTTTTTCCTGCATCTCCTTATACTTATTCACTTTTGGATGGATATTGGATATAAATATTTTTGTAAAACCATATTAAATAAATAATAAATGAAATCTCTTTAAATTTCATCAAGTGTTTATTTTTCATATATATATATATATATATATATATACATGAATTATTCACACAAAAACTAATGCAAAGGTTAATGATTTAAATGGCGAGACATCCATCATCGCAAACAATTCAAATAGTATACAAAAACCTCCGTATCGTATCCGTTATGAATGAAATGATCCCTGTTTATATAAACTTCTGCCGTATTAGTTCTTATTTTTACTACAAGCTTTCGTCTGTTCCTACCGACATCTTCAGGTATAGAATAGATGTTGTTCTTGTTTTTCTCTTAGTAATAAGAGGACAACGAAAATATATGTATTGTTGTATCCGAAAATGCTATTGGAAATGAGTTATTGTTTTTTGGAGCGCGCATAAGCAACGCTGAGTTTGATTTTAAATTTTTTTTAAAGGTTGTGCGTTCTTATAAAATATGGTGAAGAACAATATATATATATATATATATATATATATATATATATATATATATATATATATATAATTAAACCTAAAGAGCCAGACAAACCTACCAAGGTTTCACCTACACGGATCGTCAGGGAAGGCCGGCTTTCCAGACGAGTATAATTTCTTATATTTATAAGATTATTATTACTACTACTATCTATATATCTATCTCTCTATCTATATCTATCTATATGTATGTTCTTCAAAAATACGCTTTTGTGGGTGCCCGAGGGGGTCGACAGTGATGTTTTGACTTGGCTCATCATACTCCCCATCACCAAATTGACCCAATCAGGGGAGATCAATCCCTGATTCCCCCTCACTATCAAATACTAACAGCTACTCTGGCCTTTTTAAAGAATTAGACAAAGAAAGACCACATATTCCGCACATCTGATTGGATGTTTGTAACAACCAATCCACTGCACAAACTATCTTTTAAATGGTCCGCGGTGGGGACTGGCTTATTTCGGTGGATTGCAGTTTTCATGGATAACCGAAGAGGTAATCTTAATGTTCCTAAGTTTAACCCTTTTCCTTAAGTATTGTATAGTTTAAATATTTGCTGTTTTTATTTTATTTGTATTTTTTCTTTTCTTTTGGTGGGGATACTTGAACTCAACCCTATTATCACATTTTATCGTTTGTTTCTTAACATTATTACAGGTTAATTTTAAATGGATGTATTTGCAAAATTAAAATAATTGTCCGTAAACATGGCATATATTTTTTTCCTGTATACACAAAAAATAAAATAAAATAAAAGTACAATAGGCACAATAATATTCCTTAACAGTGATTTAAAACTATTAACAAATTTGAAGTCGTTAAATACAATAGACTACAAAATGCTCTTGGAAAATATTAAGTATTAATGAAACTTCATATTATATTTATATATATGTATCACTTAAAACCAATGACAATTAAACTAATAATATACAAACGATATATAGCAATGATTGAGAGAAAAAACTCTATAAATACACTATATACGTGTTATGATTCCGATTAAAATATACAAAATGCGAAATGTTCATATAAATATAAAATTAAAAGAAGAAAAAAAATAGACAAAAAGGTCTTGCGTTCGAATAAATATAAAATTAAAAAAAATAATATATATATGGGAAATTGTATGACAAAGTGGACACAGTTTTAAACTGTTGTTAACGCAGTGTAGCTTGATATCTAGGATGGTTAAGAAATTGTATTCTTCCATTTGGTAGGTAAATTCCATTGTGTTCAACTTTGTTTAGTTGATCTACTAGGTCAGGTAAGTCAGTATCATGAGGATATATAAGTAGTCTCGTCAATATAACGGAAGTATGTAAAGTGCTTGATGTCAAAGATAGTGCTAATAGAATTAATACAAGTAAATGGTTTCTTACTTAGCTGATAAGCATTACCTTCAGCATCCTGTGTGGACAGTGTGATTGCTGGGGTGTTTGTCTATGAAACTCTGGAAGCAGGATGCTGAAGGTAACATCTATCAGCCAAGTGTTAAACCTTTTGCTTATATGTATGTTGGTATATATATTGCTGTGAAATGTATGACTAAGTGGAAAATATTTTCTTGGTGATTTTTTTTTTTTTTTTTTTTTTTTTTTGTCCTTCAGAACTTCATTAGAGTAAGTTTATGTTGGGGCATCTACACATAAGCATGTACCAGGAATGCTGGGAAATTGAAATTTGAAATTAAAAAAAAAAAAAAAAAATTCAATTTCCCGCATTTCTGATTTGTCACAAGGAATATTTTCCATTTTGCCATACCATTTTTCTGCACATGATTAAAAGCAGATTTTCATTCCCAGTATCCTCCCGATTCCAAAAAGGTATAATATATCGATGTTGGGCAAGTGTGGCCTGAGTTAGTGGTTTCAGACAGAATTTGCTATTTATTTCTTTAGATAATAATGATGATGATGATAATAATAATATTTTATACAATGACACTTTCATTTTAACTGGGATTCAGATGAAAAATCTGTAAACATCTCTGGTTGATTTTTTCCAATAATAAATATTCTTTGGGAAGTGTCCAATAGTCTACTTTGTAAGGATCAGGTCATTTTGAAATGAATGAAGCCTGCTTTGAATTTTCTAGACAGCAGGTTGGTGCTGGAAAGATATTGGCCTGACCTACTACACAAAATCGGTTCTCTGATGTTTGGTAATATATATATTACATTATTTTTTTTTATTTTTTTATTTTTTTTTTAACTGGGATAGGACTTTCAACATTCCTCTCCATATTTAATGTTAATTTTGATGCGATTTTCATGTAAGCCTCTGTCAGCAAGCACAAGGGCACACACTTGTCACTCCTATTTTTTCTTTTGTATACCAGAATAAATTCTTTGTCATGGGACAAAGGGATTGGTGTTTTGTTATGTTTGGTTTTTTTCTCTCTCCATAATGTTTCCATGAACTAAGGTTATAAGGTCATGCACCTGTTATTATTTGAACTCCCAAAGTTCTTGAAAGTTGGAAAGTTAATTTTATCTCTTAGCATTATTCATCACACACACACACACGAAAAAAAAAAAATTTTTTTTTTTTTTTTTTTTTTTTTTTTTTTTTTTTTTTTTTTAAACGAAACTGGTTCTTAATTCTTTTTGTCTATTTTGCTCCCCTCCCCTCCAAGCAAGGTGATGATATCACTGGAATTCAGGAAGTTACTCCTAATTTTGGTAATATCTTGTAAATTGACCACGCAGTGAATCCTTTGCATCCTGCATTAATCGGGTTGATCTGCACTTGCCAACCCTGATTTTCTCATTCTTCTACAATTTGAAAATATTTCTCAAGCTTCTTGTCATGGTTTTCATCCATATTTTCTTCCTCTTCCTTTTTTCTAACAATGAAAAATGGTCGGCATTTTTTATCGGGTGGGTGAAAGGCAGCAATGTTAAATTATAAAAGTTTTTTTTTTTTTTTTTTTTTTTTTTTTTTTTTTAAACAAATATACAACTGTGGTAGCAAGGGCAACCACAGGAAGGGCAACCATTTGGCCGGCAATAAAACCACTCTATCTCTTGTTGCTGGGAGATGGTTTACTACTTTCATAATGGCTATCATCAGTGTTCTTCAGGTTCCAAGAAACTACAATTTTTATTTTAATGACTGTTTGTGATCTTGGTGATTCACACATGCTGAAATCTATAAAAGCAAACTGTTTCTGGTTGTCAGACAGATATTTTATTTCTTTCTTGAAGCGAGAGTTATGAGAGAATTTTTTTGAACTTGAAAGTTTCCCAGATATGTTTGACTTTGTTTTTTTTTTTTTTTGTTTTGTTTTGTTTTTTTTTTGTCTTTTATCATTTCATCTCAAGCAAGGCAATAAAGATGCAAATACACAAAGGAGTTACTGGATGTAAAAGAAAGAGGAAAAGAAAAATATTAAAGAGAGAACAATAAAAGAATGAGAAGCAAGAAGACAGCAGATAACGATTGACATTTCATTTAAGTTTTTGAAGATCAAAGTTGACTGGGAAGGAAAGCAAGAATCCAGAAGAGTTCCATAAGTGAGAATTGTGATAAAAGAAACTGTTAGTATAGAACTTTTAGTTCCATCTCGCCATTTCAACTGTAAAATGATGAGACCTTGCCACCAATCTAGATGAAGTCTAGGTGTGATAGCCGAAAGTTCATCAGAACAATTATCATGAAAGTATTTATAGAAAAGGCACAGTGAAGCTACGTTACGACTGTGTGAAATGAACTGAAGTGATGTAAATAAGGACAAATTTACTGGAAATTATCATGCTTAATTTTTCTGAGATGAGGTGTTATGATTATTTACATTATTTGAACTGTTATCCTCATCTTCATTGCCATATTCACATTGTTTCGGCTGTTGTATGATCTGGCCTTCTTCAGGTGATTAGAATTTCTAACGGAGCCCTTTATTTCGTCCACTAAAGTAGATTGCTTTTTCAGGATGTCACGGTTATTTCACTTTAATTTTGGAAGTTTTTGGTTTACCACTGCTGTGGCCTGGTATTGAGTTCACAAGAGTTCACTGGATCTAAACAACATCTTTATCCACTTGGGTCATGTGACCTTGAGGTCATCTGTGTTTGAATTTCTGGGACTTATAAACTTTTTTTTTACCAGTGCTCATATTGCGACACATGGCATGAGCAAATGGATAGCAGAACAGGGTTTGGGAGAAATAACAAAAAGACAAAATTTATTAAGAGCTACATGAGACGAGAAAATGTGGAGGGCCATTAACGCCTGTGTCGTGAAGGGTCACAGCGCATAAAAGAAGTTACTGTGAGAACTGATGAGCAATAAGAACTACACCAGGGGTCAGCAAACCTTTTGTAGGAAGTGGGCCAGACAGCTATACAGTGTCTCTGAGGGACATGATATCAAAGGTACTATAATAAATTGTGTGGACTACAGACCACTGTGTACAGTTTTTGTCTGGAGGTTTAAAGAAAAAAACAAAAGTTAATGTTATATTATTTAAACAAGTTTCTCTGTTTTACTGCAGAAATAATGGAATAACAACTAATGCAATCAGCAAAAGATGCAAATTTCTTACTACTGTTTAGTTGGTGAGTCAGACAAAAATCCTTCATGGGCCAGATATGGCCTGGGGGTTGCCAACTCCTGAACTAGATGATATCCCTCCAAGGATGTGGAATAAGAACAGTCAACCACTGTCAATTAAATAAAGGGTACACTTCAAAATTATACGTAGGTTACCTCAGATCAATATACACCTGAGGAAGGGGACAATTGATCCTTTATCAGCAACTGTGGATTGGATCACTTGCATATTGGAACCATGTACCATACTTAAGTAGCACCAATCTAATAGTCAATATATTTAACAGCAATACAAGTCCCAAGAGCCACTCAAAGTATTGTTCCGTACTGGGTAAGACTATAAGCTATGTCCAACAGCAAGGCCTCTGATCAGGAGGCTTTGAGGAGCATGGAACCACCTCTTAATTGCTGGTGTTCCCAGGTCCATGCTGACCCGGAGTGGTAGCACTTGTTAGGGTCCCAGCTATGGGCAAATAGTTAACCCTGAAACTGTGGTCAAAAGCATTATGAAAGTGTAAAAATAGGTTTTAATACAGGAATACTTTGTAAAAAAAAATATTACCAGAAACATTTTTGAAGAATAAAAATATTATGATCAACATGTTTTTGAGGAAAAAAAAAAATATTACGAGCAACACGTTTTTGAGGAAAAAAAAAATATTAACAGAAATAGTTTTGCTATTGGTTATCTTATTTTTATACCAATTATTTGTAAATTTTGACTCCGAGCTCAAGCTGGAGGGTTAAAATTGTGCAGGGCTCAGAGTTAAAAATTTATAATTTTTTTTTTTTTTTTCTTTGAGATTTTATATCCAGCAATTACTTTGATAAGCAGATTTAAGCTGATGAAATACTTTGTCATTTTTACTATGCATAAATATTGACTTTTTTTTTTGGTCTTTGTGACAAAACTATTTTGTCTTTTGCAAACCAAACAAAAGTTTCTTTCAAAGCTGCTGTCTTAATTAAAGAGCAAATTAAAAAAGAATTCTGGCAAAGATGACGAAATTATCCAACTCTAATTGTAAACAAGATGAGAAAAAAAAAAAAAAAATGGTGATAGTTTTCAGTTCTGTGGTTAGGCTTTCCATTATGTTATAGATCCTAACCTGGCATCTTGGCATCAATCTACCCCAGTGGATGAAATAAAGGGTTCATTTCGAAGGCTGTAGTGTACAACATCTGAAATGTCATAAATATGAAAATGTAAATAATTATAATACCTCATCTCGGAAATATAGACAAATCTTTTTATTTAAAAAAAAAAAAAAAAAAAAAATTACAAAAATTATCAATGTGTAAGCCATCAACAAAATTTATTATTTACCATTTTATAAATAACTTTTTTTTCTCCATAATTTTATAGAAATTCAATGTATTTTTTCATAAAAGAAATGCTGAGAAAAGGTGTATTATTATTATTATTATTATTATTATTACTATATTTTTATTTATTTTTTTATTTTATTTCAAAATTTATAACTTACCCATTGTTATTAATTTATTGCTCATCATTACTAAGTTATAATTAGTTGTTCATTGTTATCTATTTAAATTTTCATGTTTGACATCTTTATATAAATTTATGAATAAAAAGAATTTATTTTCATATTTTATAAATTGATAAAGGATTACATTGTATTAGTTGGTTTGCTTTTCTAGAATTTTGTAAATAAAAAAAAATCTAACAGTGTTTAATATTTTTCTTGTAAATTCTCAAAGGACAAAGAAAATGTATAAATTCACTTTCGTATGTTTAGGTTTTATTAAAACTCTAATCTTCACTTTCTAAAACCGTAAACATTGCCAAGGAGTGAAGGTAGTTTAAATAATAGTAGTGTCAAGGGAAATACTTTTTTTTTTTCTCCTTTCTGACTAGGTGTAGCTAGGTTCACCTATCATCTGAGGTCACATTCCTTCCCAGCCTTTTGAACAGGTTTCTGGTTCCTTCTAAAATCTTTTTTATTCACTTTCGCCACCAGTAGACCCCTGCATTTTAGTGGTAATATATCACCTTGCTTGTGGTGAATTGATTAAAAAAAAAAAACCCAAAAAAACCCAATCCTTTCTTCTCCAAAGCTGTAGACTCCCTTAGAAACTCTGGGGGCACAGGCCTCAACATGGGTAACCATTTCTCTGTGGTTTCTGTACCATGTAGGATTTTTATAGGGTGGAGTTACTAGCCCCCTGTCCAACCAGCATTTAATTCAGTTGTTTCCATCTGAGACTGGTTCCTAAGCAAAGGTGAAGAGCCCAGTTTACCTTGATATTTAACCCATAGCTGGTGGGGGGAAATGTCCTTTTGACACACCATTTTATTGTGGGCAAGAAAATTAAAGATTACTGTTTTCTATTTTACTGTTGTGCCTAAACTTTTGACTGAGCCCCACAAGAGATTTCTTAACTATTTAACAGGGAGATAAACTTATCTCTGAGATTGTATTCCGATTTTATGTAAACTTCTTGGCTAATCCTGCTACTGCAGCTCTAACCTACAGTGAACCTACCATAAGTAGATTATTGGCATTATCCGCATCTGACCTCAACCCGACTTACGATAATCTTATAGACGTCTATAATAGATGGTTTTCAGTTTTCTTTTCTCTCTCTCTCTCTTGTATATAATATACTAGTTTGGTTAAAGATAAAAGAAAGTTTGGAAAATTTGAACCTTCATGCCCATCTGAAAACCATTGTATCTAAAGGACAGTTTCCCCCTTTTACACTGCTATTATTTCAATTAGCTTCTCTCTGCTCTGACTTAAGGCTCCCTATTTAATGGGGGGGAGTAAGACTGGTTGGTATCATACACTACCTCTCCCCAAAAAACTGGGCAGACCCTAAATTTGCTCCAATCCTGAGGAGCGGTTAAGATGATGCTTACTTTAAATGCCTATAAGGTCTAAAGCTTATTCCAGATCTCAAAAAGAAGTTGTATATTTCTGTTAGTGCTTGCCCACTACTCACTGTCCGGCCTTGACAGAGTTCCAAAGCAATTATTTGGCCTTGTGTCTGATGTATTAATTACCATCACTCCTCATCAATGTTTGTTTAAAAAAAAAATGATGATAATTGTAATAAAACCTAAACATGAAAGCAAATTTATACATTTTCTTGTATTTTTGAGAATTTACAAAAATAGTAAATACTATTTATTAGATTGTTTATTTTTAAAATTAATTCAAACTTTATAAAATGGTAAATAAGGATTTCCTTATAGTTAGTTTACATATTTTAATAATTTAGTAAGTGTTGATAAATTGAGGAATGAGAAATTGTTTTATCATTTATTTCTTTATAAATTGTTAAATGATAAAAATTGCATAGTGTATCATTTTTTAGAATGTTGTAAATATAAAAATTATTCTTGAAAATAAACAATCTAATAAATAGTGTTTATTATTTTTGTTGTCAATTCAAAAGAACAAAAAAATGTATAAATTCTCTTCCATATGTTTAGGTTTTATTACAATTATAATCATGACTTTTTAAAACCATAAACATTGGTCAGGAGCAAAGGTAGTTAAAATAATATTGGTGGTGTCAAGGGAAAAAAACCATCTTTTTTGACGTTGTTTTTTTTTGTTTTTTTTTTGTGGACATGAATGTCTAATAAACAAAAGGGAGTAAATGTTGAACTTCTTATTTTTTTTATTTGTTTATATATATTTATTTACTTTAATTTCTTTATTAACATAATTGTTATATATTACTTTCATTTGATAAATTATTTATGTTTTTAATTATATTAAGTAATAGGTTTTGAGTTAACCAATTGTTTTTAAAAATTTCTATGGTTATGGATGTTAACATTTCAACTGTCAGATCTGGTTAACCTAGTTTGATTCCCAAGAAACACCTAGACGTTGTTGGCAGGCAGGTGGGAAGAAAATAAAATGCTGTTTGTAAACAACAAACTTTAAAACCTAACTTGGCTCAACCATAACTTTATTTTACAAATGCAGCATAATTGGAATTGACACAATGTTGACATTTTTCGTTTTTTCTTGTATTTTTTTTATTCGTTTTTTTCTTGTTTTTTTTTATTCGTTTTTGGGTTGTTTTTTTTTTTTTTTTATTCGTTTTTGGTTTTTTTTTTTTTTTTTTTTTATTCGTTTTGTTTTTTTTATTCGTTTTTTGTTGGGGGGGTTCGTTTTTTGTTGGGTGGGGTTTCGTTTTTTGGTTATGTATGTGTGTGATTTGTTTTTTTTTTTTTTTTTTTTTTTTTTTATGGTATAATTTTTATAGCTTGAAATAATTTGGGGAATAATGGAAATTAATTGCAAAATCCAATGAAAGTCACCCATGAAATAAAAGTAATTTTTTGTATAGAAAGTAAGAACCTACATACCTCAAGTCGTCTTTAAGTGACAGCAGAAGTTATCATTGAACCTTTAAAAGGTAAGCTTAAATATCATTGCAATTCTTAAATGCAGTGATCAATTTTGAGTTCTTCTGTAGTTTATTGTTGCCAATCACATATACTCCTCCCTAGTTATTGTGATGAAAACTCAATCAAGAAGCCTCTGCAAGAGTTAGCTTAAAGTTAGTATATAATAATAATAATACTAGCAATTAGTACATAGTTTTTTCTCTTTGTTGTTTCTGTAACTCTGTTCGTTAACCCTGTGAAATCCGAATTTTCTCTACAAAAATGACTTTCTAGTTTAACTATGAAATAAGAACTTCTTCCAAATGTCGTAATTGTTGCCACATTTTCGCCAATCACTAATGATTACCTTGGACCATTACTGCTTTGTTATCAAACTTAATCATACACCAACCATTCAACTAAAATAGTTGTCTTGACTTATCGGCATTTCAACTGTCAGATCTGGTTAACCTAGTTTAATTCCCAAGAAACACCTAGACGTTGTTGGCAGGCAGGTGGGAAGAAAATAAAATGCTGTTTGTAAACAACAAACTTTAAAACCTAACTTGGCTCAACCATAACTTTATTTTACAAATGCAGTATAATTGGAATTGACACAATGTTGACATTTGCTATCAGGCAGCAATAAAATCTAGTTTCATAGTTGACAAATTTCCAGAGATCATTTAGAACCCGGTCTATATTGACGTTCAGCTGCTAGCATGTACACTACAGTTCAAAAGTTTGAGGCTATCCCACACCATGATTTTTTTTTAAATTGGCCCAAAAGTAGTTTTGTACTTTTAAATAAGAGAAATTTATTATATATAGTTAAAAAAAGAAAGTGAGACATGATGTTGTTTTGTTTTTTTGTTTTTTTTAATAGTTTTATTATGATAAAAAGAAAAATATATTTTATTAAATTTTGCTCTCAACAAAATCTCCTCCTCTATCCTTGATTATTGCAGCACAAATCTTTGGCATTTGTTGCAAAAGTTTCTCAAAGTATAAGTTTGATAATTGATTCCATTCTTTTTTGTTCACTGACTTTAAGAGCCCTCTCTCTCTCTCTCTAGCACCACCCCCTCTCTCTCTCTCTCTCCCTCTCTCTCTAGCACCACCCCCCTCTCTCTCTCTCTAGCACCACCCCTCTCTCTCTCTCTCTCTAGCACCACCCCCTCTCTCTCTCTCTAGCACCACCCCTCTCTCTCTCTCTAGCACCACCCCCCTCTCTCTCTCCATATATATATATCATATATATATATATATATATATATATATATATATGTAATCTCTTTTGGGATAAGAATCTTTTTCAGCAGCTCCTTGTATGTCGATGTTGAATACATATTTACATGTGACTTATTACTAGTAGATTAGTTTAAAAAAACCGAAACCAGAACCAAGTCTAAAGTGTACATTTCTTTCCAGTCATGTTAACTAGAGCACAACTTTGGACAATTGGTTTTTAAAATTATTTCTTCTGCTTTTAATTTACTAAGTTTGGATGGATCTCAAATATCTGGATATATATTTCTGTCTGTGAAAAACTAACGTCATTTGAAGAGGCCTATTGAAATACCCAAAGTAGAAGACAAACCCAGTCAGAATTTAATCTTGAAAATTTAAACTACTTTCATGAAGTTTTCACAAAGCTAATGTCATCATGCATTTAAACTATTCCTCTCTTCAAGAACTCAAACTATTGGGTTGTTGGAGCCGGAAGGCATTATCTTTAATGGTATTAAGTTATTTCTCCTCCTCCCAGTGGGGAAGAATTTCCAAGAATTTTGGGGTTTTTGTAGTGAATTGAGATTCTAGATTGGCGGACCGAAATAGTTTGAATATTGATCTTTTCTGAATTGCATCTTTTTGAAGTGAACCATCTTGGAAGTGACAAATGCTCTTCTGAAGACTGATACAAAGGTTACAGGCACAAAAGGTTCAAAGACAGTAAGATAAATAAAGGCAGGTGCAAGGGTCTCATTTGCCCCCCACCCTCACCTAAATCTATTATATCTCAATTTTCATAAGGTAGTATTGTCATATAGGAAGAAAATGAGTAACTACTGATGCTGAGGTTCGAGTGCAACACTCTGGACTTATGAATATGTTTCCCACCAGGTGTATAAATAGCGGTGTCAGGCTACTGACTGCAGTGACTATTGTTGAATTAGTGTGAATTATTGTGCATCAATGATTGGGGTTTTGATATAGGATTTTCTGAACGTTAAGCCGAGCTGTGCTACTAACAAGGTATTCATTGAAATGGTTAATTATCTTTGGTTGACTTTTACTTATTTGGTCTTGTTAAGTATTTATTTGCAGTTGTAATTAAATACCGTTATATTTTAACGACGCCACTTGGTCTACAATGAGTTTGACAAACAATATACATAAAATCAATGAGAACACACACACACACACACACACACACATACATATATATATATATATATATATATTATATATTATGGGAAGTCAGCCTGTCTTGAAAAGTTGGCTTTTATTTTGGATGCTCTATATCAGCGGTTTTCATTTTTTTTTTTTTTTTTTTTTTTTACTGCGACCCATTGCAAGAATGACACTTTGCATTGCAACCCATTATACCTACTTGTAATAAATCAAAGACAATCTTTGTTCACTAGGTTAATTTATTTAGCATTGACAATTGTGCCAGAGAAGTGCACCCTCTTTGCTCACACGCTTGCCCAATCTGTGGTTTTCTTTGCAAGTCATTGGCGGGTCTGAAATGTCACTCTAGATTCAAACATAAAGGTCATTAAAAAGTTGTCGGAATCTCATACGTCGAAATTGATGGGAGAGTCCATCATATTTCTTATGATCTGCACGTATTGCATGCATCTATTTGTATAAATATAAAATTACTTTTAGAAAAAACAATTTAAAGGAAATTCTGACACAAAGGTAAAGTAAATAATATTTGAAAAAAAAAATGTCATTTAAAGAGATGGATGTGCTTGTGTGTTCAAAAGCGTCCGATTCCAATTGGGAACACAGGAAGACAATGCTACACACATATCAGGTGCAAGGTTGTGCCTGTTTCTGCTTTTGAGTTAATGTCGACAATCCCTGTTCACTCAAGTAGTTGTCATTGTTGACAATGTTGGAAACATGGTAATTTCTTTTTTGTTTCGACCCATTTTATTTATCTCATGACCCACCGAAGGGTCAGGACACACAGTTTGAAAAACCCTACCTTATGCCAGAAAATGTCTTTGAATTTTCCTTATTATTGCTAAAGACATTTCAAGGGAAATCTGTTTTAATATGATAGGGGAAACAAAAAACGTTTTTACTTGACTCCAATTTTATGTTTGAGATTAGATTTAATGAATCTCGGCTGTTTTATTCATTCCTCTCGTTTCTTCTTTATTTAGCATTGTAAGCAGTCAAAGATAAATCCTTTCAGGCTATAATGGGGGTGTGGAGAGATTTGGGTAATCAATGGCAATTTTTCAAAAAGAATCAGTTTGATAAATGGTGTCGATATCTACAGATCGATGGCTACTAATGTTGGCTGTCTTATTCTCTCTCTTTTTTTCATTACAATCTTGAGCAGACGCAATTTTTTTTTTTTTTTTTTTTTCAAAGATGAAGCGGGTTGCCTTTGTTCCATTCATTTGATTTTTATTTTTTTATTTTTTTTTAAGCATATTTCATCTTTTCATTTTTCCGCTGTGCTAAGGAGAAAGGCAAATGGATTCTTTAATATGAAACATCTTGACAGGGTGCCAAGCATTCACTTCACAAGGTAACAGGTACAAAATTAACCCAACTTCAAATATTTACTCCTTCCTTGATAGCAAGTCTGACAGAATCCAACAAAATAAAACTGGCAACTGCTCTTGAAAATGACTTCCAATCAGTATCTGTCTATATTTCTAAGATGAGGTATTATGTACACTATTTACATTATTCGGACTATTGTCCTCATCTTTGTTGCCATATTTATTACAACGTTTCGGCCTTTCAGTATCTGTCTATATTTCTGAGATGAGGTATTATGTACACTATTTACATTATTCAGACTATTCTCTTAATCTTTGTCGCCATATTTATTACGTTTCGGCCTTTGTATGCTCCGGCCTTCTTCAGGTGGTTGGAATGTCGAACTGAACCCTTTATTTCACCTGCCGGGTAGACTGTTCTAGTTCCACGTGCCATGTTTTAACGGATCTCAGTTGTCTCCTGTTAATTCTCCTCTCCAAGTTCTCCACTGCCTTAATTGGATATTGAACTCACACTCTTTGGGTCCTGTCACTGGATCTAACTAATGCCTTTATCCACTGTGCCATGTGTCCTTGAGGAACTAGAAAAGTCTACTCCAGTGAGCGAAATAAAGGTTTCAGTTCGACATCAGGAGTCAGACGATTGCATCCAGCATAAAACAGCCTGTCGCCTCTGAGTGTTGAATTCAATGTTCACTTTTATATTTACATATGCTCTATCTCTGATATTGAGCACTTTATGCCATAAATATAGCAAACCTTAAAACTATATTTCTTATATATGTGTGTGTGCTTGTGACCTTGGGTTTCACACTTTTGCAATCATCAGACAAGCTGGATATAGGTGTTGGTTAGATCCAGTTACAGGATCCAAAGATTTGAGTTCAATAATTTGTTTATCAAATTCTGATTAGGTATTAATCCACATATTCCCCCCAAGCTATGGGTTAATTAGTAAGATTTGTGTCACTAAATTGGTGTTGCCAAAAAAAAAGTCTTACAATCTAAAAATATTTTGGGGCTTAAAATAACCTGCAAAGGGTTGATAAGCTGTAAATAAAAAAAAAAAAAAAAAACATCAATCAAGTGAGCTTAAGTGATATTTTTTTTTTTTTTTTTCATCTCTTGTAAACAAGGACTACAAGATTTTTTTGTTAATGTTCTTTTCTAGGCTCCAATTTTAAGTGCAGTACTAGATTGGCACAAAGGTCTCACCATTTTTGCAATTGAAATTGCTGGATGCAACCATAAGTTCTATGCTAACCGTTTTTTCTATTACATTTCTCGCTTGCGGAACTCTTCCTCCGGCTCTAAATACAATGGTAATCGTTATCTTCTGTCTCTTTGAATATGACTTCTTTTATTGTCCCTTCCTCCTTTTCTCATATTCTCTAACACTCAGTAAATCCGCCTTTGTCTTTAGTGGCTTTATTGCCTTGGTTTGTGTGTAAGGATTAAAAATAAAGAAAATGATTGAAAATACATAAAATTTTCTCAGTCTACTAGAATCTCAATGTGCACATATGGTGCCCAGCACAAAATCAGCTTCATCCATGTGTTGCAATTTTATGATCCCCGCCCCCCGTTTTATATGAATGAAAATGTTTTGACATATTTAACAGATATTATTTAATGATATCACAAGTGATATAAACTTTTAAATGTAAAAGACGATAGAAAAACTGTAATAGTTGCCAACGTGTTTCATCCAGCTATTGCAGTCTTCCTATTGTCTTTTACATTTATGCATATTGTCTTTTTCTACAGGTTAACGCCGAGAAATTTTTCGTAAACTTTTAAGAAAATAAGTTTCAATGCTTTATTAATAGTAAAATACTTTTCAAAGCATTTTGATCTATGCTTTTAGTATTTGCTGTGTTGCTATAAATGCAATGATTAGAGTGAATGAAAGTCACATAAATTACATAAACACTTATTATTAATATAATTGGTAATGTATTTTTATAGCAAAATCATTTGCACTGCATTTAATTTTTTGAATATCAATGTCAATCGCGATCTTCTGTCTTAATACTTTTTCTTTCATTGTCCTTAATAGTATTTTTTGTGATATTCTCTAACACTCGGTAACCCCCTGCCTCTTAGTGGCTTTATTGCCTTACTTGCCTCTTAGTGGCTTTTATTGCCTTGCCTCTTAGTGGCTTTTTGCCTTACTTTTAGTGGCTTTATTGCCTTACTTGCCTCTTAGTGGCTTTATTGCCTTACTTGCCTCTTAGTGGCTTTATTGCCTTACTTGCCTCTTAGTGGCTTTATTGCCTTACTTGCCTCTTAGTGGCTTTATTGCCTTACTTGCCTCTTAGTGGCTTAGTGGCCTTTTATTTATTGCCTTAGTGGCTTTATTGCCTTACTTGCCTCTTAGTGGCTTTTTTTATTGCCTCTTCTTAGTGACTGTTTGCCTTACCCCTTTCCTCTGATGGCTTT